CTTGAGCCACAGTGCCACTTCCAGCCTTTTCTGTTTCTGTAGTACTGAGGAATCGAGCCCAGGGCTTCACGCATGCTAGGCAAGCACTCTGACACTAAGCCACATTCCCAGCCCCCCTTTAGAAACAAAACAAAACAAAACAAAACAAAAAACCCTATCTTTTTGGAACTACTTTGCAAAACACAAATGGATTTACTGGGAGGGAGGGACTGAGAGAATGAGTAAAGAGAAGATATTGTATGAAAGGAAATGTACTCATTACCTGACTCATGTAATTGTAATCCCTCTGTACATTACCTTTACAATAACAAAGTAAAATTTCAAAAATGGATTTACTAAAAAGTCACTCATTAGAGAGAAGGAAGGGACACCTTTCACTTCCATAAGGGCTGAGACTTAAAGCTCGGGGTTCCTTCCTACTTCCTAAGAAGGGATATCTCATGGCATGGGGCCTCCTCTTTCTCTTCCTGTGCCCACTTTCTATCCAGAAGATGAGTCCAGGTAGGTGCAAGTTGGTAGCTGAGCCCTGAGCCCTATGGCCAACAGAGGAGAATGAGGATTTGCCATGGTTTGTTGGTGATCTGGGAATGAGAGACATAGTGTGCCAGCATCCAGGGCTGGCAGAACAGTAACACAGGCTGATAACTGACCTTCCTACGAGACGGGACAGGAGGAAGTGTCCCTTTTTGTTTATGCTGCTGCTGCAAAAACCCTCAGCCTGGGTAAAGTGGAGTCCGTCTGGGGACAGACCTTGGACATCACACAGCTATTTTCTCAAGTTCAGAGAAGCTGTGACAGCCAGAGGACTACATCCCAGTCCTAAGAATCCCCGGCCTGAAACCAGAAAGGTGAGCAGGTGCCTGGGAAAGCCAGCCCCTGCGGGGTAAGGGGCAGCTCTATGTCCGTGGCGCCATCTGAACTCTCATAGAAGCCTCAACGGGGCCCAGGCTCAGAGAAGGGGATAGGGCTGACACAAGTTTAGGAAGTCAAGGGCCACTTTGGTTTCCCAGGTTCGAAGATCAAAACCTGGAAAACAATGATCACAGCCCTCCTGGCTGATTTGGAACAATCCAGAGAATCAGGTGGGGGGAGGGGGGCAGCTCTAAGACTCCCCTCTGAGGAAGTGTTCAGGCCTCTCCCTTCCCTGGGCTGTATGCCCAGAGCTGAGACTCTAGTTCTCCAGCTACCCTAGGATGGCTGGACTGCAAGGTAACGACTCTGGGACGCGTCTTGGGCGTCGTCAGTTGTTTTAGAAGCTGATCAGGCAATTCCATCTGCAGCCAAGTTTGGCAACCCAAGACGACCAAGTCCCCCTTCCCGGGGGTCCCTTCCCAGATCACCCCCCGGGGCAGAGGGGACAGGCCTCCGTCGGTGGGCTTGCAGGAGAACGCCAATGAAATGTTGTAAAAAAAAAAAAAATCTTTGTGTCAAAGTAGCTCCAGTGTAAACATGGATGTGCTAATCTTTCTCCAGGCCGGGCCTGCCGCTACCCAACCCCGCACGCGCGCGCACACACACATCCCACGGCCCGCCCGGCGCACAGCGGAGCCCCGGCCCGGCTCCAGGAAGGGCTCGAGGTGGTTTCAGAGCCTGGCGGGCTCCGGGCCCGGGGCGATCGCACGGTGGGGCCTGCCGCCCGTCCCGGGGCCTGTGTCGGGGCCTCGTTCCACGCGCCCGCCCAGGGCCAGGGCCGGGCCCGGAGTTCGGGCCCGGGCCGGCGCGGCCCCCCGCACGACGGCGCCCCGGGCGCGGCCGGGTCCCCAGGCCCCGGGCGGCCCCGCCCCGCCCCCCACGGCGGCCGCCGCGGCCATGGCGCCGGCGGGGGCTGCACCCACCTGCATGGGCGGCATTCCCTCGGCCATTTCCCCGCGCAGCGCCGGCTCCTGGTGGCAGACCTCGTCGGGGGGCAGCGCCTGGGCCCAGCTCCAGCTGCCGCCGTCCAGCCCCAGGCCCTGGATGCCCAGCTGTTGAGGCTGCGGCCGTGTTGACACAAACTGCATCCTGGGAGCGCGGCTTCCCCGCTCGGGCCGGCCTGGGAGAGGAAGAACGTTCTCCGGGCGCCTTCCCCCTCGCCGGGGCCGGACAGCTCCATCTACAGCCCGTAGGAGCGAACAGTCCCTGTCGGCGGCGCTCCCGCCCTCCGCCGCCGCGCGCCAGCCAATGGCCTCGGCGCTCCC